CAACAGACGTGAATGGTCCTGGAGCCACTTCATTCCTTTTAATCAGGAGAGATAAAATGGGACAGTTAAGCTTTTTGCCATCCTGATCCCAAGAGGATCAAACTCAGATCTCCCATCACCAAGAAAGCCCTACCATGAAAGCCCCTCCTGCCCTCCTGGTGCAAGTGGGGCAATTCCTTACCTGGCATTAACCAGCCCCCTGAGCTCTCCCTCCTCAAGCACGGCTTTGGAACTTGGATATTCATCCAGTCAGAACAAAGTGCCCAGCTCACAAGAAGAGAAGACATCTAGCTCTAGCAGAGACCTAGCACATCACACCCTCTCAGAATTGCCTATTCCTACTGGTCAGCTACAGCAATCCCCAGCTTGGCGCCCTGCCTGCTGTGAAATCTGCTTCCAGATGCCACGTGCTTCCCACACGTTCAATGGAAACCCATTAAATAGGGGAATTTCACCCAAGGGGATCCTTAGCATCAACAATCATGATGCTGACTGTCAATATGCCCAAGCTCCTGTCTGTATTTTTTACCATTTTTAAAAGTCCCTGTCATTCTGAAAATTGACTCAAAAGCCTTACTATGGGGGATACAATGAGAAATTATGTTGCAAAAAAGCCCTAAGCTTCAAATAGAAAAATTACAGAATGTAAGCACAAGAGAAAGAAACTAAATCTCTTGAAAAGTCACCTGCCCTCCCCCAAGCAGGTGAAGATCTGCACTGAAATTTGGTAACCTAGCTCACTTCACTGATAGCCCATTTTAGTTTTACTGTTTCAGTTAATTTTCAAGGAGGGATTTTCCAAGGCAGTTATCAGTGTGAATTCAACATCAATGCAACACATTTCCCCTGGAGAGGTTTCTAAATCAATTTTAATTCCGATAGGCTCAAGTAAATGTTTTCAATTTGATTCAATAATCCATACACACTTATAAAATGGCATTTCCCCCATGTACTACAAGACAAACATGGTTTATGTTTGTAACAACTCTGGCTAATAAAAAATTCTAATTTCCTATCTTGAAGGATACAGACACAATTTTTATTCACTTCTTAATGAACCAGATGACATAAACAAATGAAATAAAATCAGCATTTAAGAGCATTAGTTGTATCATTAGATCTCTAAATGCTATAGTAACACATGATTTTTGTCAAGCTCAAAAAAAACCCCAAACAACTAAATAAAAAAAAAAGTCCTCAAATAGAGCTTTCTAAATCTCCTAAGAATTTGTCATCATTTCCACTTAGAGAGCAATGTGAAACCTCTTCAGGATGTCTTTTGAAATGTGAGCAAGTTCTCAAAAAAGGTAATTACAATGAAGTTACTACCAGGTATCAGCAAGAGTGGCATGAAGATTAGGGCTGGAGGTGAGGGATGGCAGAAATATAATCTCCTCTAATAGCATCTAGTGTATTGCAAGCTCGAAAAATGGAATTAAGTGTGGAAAGGAGGGCTGTGGAGTTCAGGGTGAGACATGGGCCCTCAATGGGCAGCAATCTTCACAGCACAGGGAGCAAACAGTGACAATCTGAGGAAAAAGGGAGTTGCCTGGCTCACCTCCATTTCCATAACTATATTTCAAAGTCAGTTAAAACTCTGACCCCTCTGCTGAGAGTACGACCAGGGAGTGTTTCCAGAGCCCATCAAATTCTGGATCCATCAGATCAATACTGACTAAACAAAAAGCAAAATTCATACTTGACTTTTCAACAGCCTGCTTTTCAGATTATCCAGGTGATAATGTTAACATACAAAATTACAGTTTGATATTAGCATGTTAACACTGAACTTACCTACAGTAAGTTAAGACTCTGTAAACAGCAGCTTCTGAGAGAGTTTTGTATGTAAGTTCTTGTCCTTCCTGTAGTAATAACCCTTTACTGTTGGAACAGGATATTGTCCTACAAACCAGCTCAGATGACAGCAGAGAGAGACTGGAGAGTTGATTATGACTAGAAAGCTCAGGGCTGTAAAAACACTGTCTAGAGAGAAGTGTTTCAGAGAGACCTGCTTTGCATATGATTGCAAAAAGAGATGCGTCCCCCGCACACAAATATTCAGTAAAATCCTTGCATGACCACTGTCATTTGCCCCATCTGCAGCAGAAATCAAACTATTTCCATGTCACACCAAAGCCAGTAGCCTATGCAACAGAGCCTAAAAGCAGTTATAAGAAATCTTAAAGGAACTTGAAACACACATTCCACCCCACTGCAGGGAGTTAGACCATCCCAGCAGCAGGACTTTGCATTCACACGCACTAATTAACCATGAGACTCCCCCTGGACCTTCCCTCTAACCTCTCCAGGTTATTAAACTGTTAACTAATGACATTACAGTGGCTTTAACTCAAGGTAAACACAAATCACATCATCTGAATAACCATAATTTTCTTTTTGGTCATTGTTCTTAGATAAGCTGCTTGCATTTATCTGACATTTTATCATATTTTATATTCATATACTTTACAAATCTTCGGAATTAAACTTCATATTATTTCAACACTTGAAATAAGAAACATCAGCTTACTAGATCCTTATACAGACAAAAACAGAGCTAAAGATTTAGCTGACACTATACAGAAAACTTATGCTGAGATAAAGAAAGAACCCCAGTCCCATGCTCTAACTCCATCCTCATCCCCTTTCAGCTAACCCAGACCTTCAGCGTGGGATATATCTGTGGGACAGACATTTCCTGCAGTGCTGTGAACTGCAGAAGGCAGGAGAAACCATCAAAACAGCAGATAATACAGCAAAAGAGGCCCGCCCCTGTTCTGGACAGAGATGGCTGCGTGGATCTTGCAGAAGAACAGCAAAACACTGGACAACACTAGAGCTGAAATTTTTGTTTATAAAGCAAAGACTAATATCTTGGGAATACTCAGTTCCACTGGATAATCAAACTCATTGATTAGCAACATTAGAAACTCCATGTTAGCACTTGCTACCTGCCACTGCTCACAGTTAATGAACTTGGGGAAAAAAGGAAAAAAAAAAAATCCCTGTTTTTCACATGTCCATCATTCATGGAGGGCTCCTTTGTTGAAATATAGCAAATGCATACAACTCAATGGTAAGTAAATGAGCACACAAGTTTCTTTTGACTCTCATTATGTGGGATTTGAATAGCAAACAGTGTGTGCATTGTGTACCTTGTCCGTGTAAGAGCCCTGGGATGGCTGATGTGATCGGATGCACTCAGACTGCACAGACAATACAGAACAAGATTAATCCTGCAGATGTGCAACTGCCCTACACTGTCCCTTCCAGCTCCTCAGACACTCATACTTGCTGCAGGGAGCTCTGATCGCTGCCACACAACGTATTTTATACTCCCTCTCAGCACTGAAGGCAATTCTCAGAATTTCCTTGTGGTGGATAGAATTAGATTCTGTGCAGAGAAGCGTTCAGTTATTATGATTTATGAAAGTGTTCTCAGAAGTTGGATGCTGAATATTTTATCAACATAAACATCAAGTTCCTAAAAGAGTTGTTTGCTGTTTTCAAAAGTTTCACCCTCCAGCGGAAGAGAAAACATAGATGGTACACATCAAAAAGATGTTATCCACACTGCAAAGAAGACATTTTTTAATTTCCTGCCTGCCCCCAAAACCTGAATGATCGCACAACCAAACCACTTTCTTTATTTGCCTTAAAAATCTCTCTTAGATCACATTCTAATTTACATCAAAGTTCCCCTGGTTTTGCCTTGCCAAACTACAGCTTTTTTATCTTAAATGAATCACTTTTTCCTCGTAAGTTTAGGCCTAGAGCAGTCATAAGGTTTCTAAATCATCTTCCCAAACAAACACTTGAATTTTTTTAATTGCTGTGTCTCCTACAAACTCTAATATAGAGATTCCCGATACAAAAGCTAAAGCAAACATAAGTAAATGTTTTCGTAGAATTGCTGCAGTAAATGTTATAGCTGCCCAGAATTTCAACCAGTTATCTACAATGAGTAAAATTTGCAACACACATATATGAGCAAAGATGAGAACTTTTTTTGTCTTATCCAGATCTAAAAAATCCTCAGAAGTAAATGGCTAAATTATACATCCACAGAAAGAAACAGAATGCCAAACTCAAAAGCTCATGTGAAAGTTCAAATCTTGCTGTCTCAGGTATTAAAACTATTTAGTATGATTTATTTCTTTTTTTGTTTTACTTTTTTGAGTAATTCTGTTTTCAATCTCAATTTTATGTATGGGTTTAAAAACAAATCAAAGATGGCTACACAGAACAACACAAATTACCACTAGAAATTAAGGTCTTAGGCTCCAAGTTTATCAGTATTTAAAACCATAAACAATAAAAATACCAATAAAAATCTAAGAATAAAAATTCCTACTAAAAATCTTCAAGTAACCATAAGCACCAAATTCATACTGGCTCATTTCTCGTGGTTATCACTGCAAAGAACTGCCTTACAATCTGAGGCAAAATTGTAAATACAAATATGATCTAACCCAACCATGCATTTATCCATAGCTTCTTGATTTTGAGTTTTCCTCCTCCTCGTTTATATTTCCTTTACCAAAGTACAATTAAGCCTCTACAGAACGTTGCTGAGTTCTCTGTAACTTCTCAAAGTGTCAGTAGGATTCAACTTCCAGTAACAGAAAGTGCATTTAAGCTCTGGTTAATTCAAAAGAAAGTAGAAAAAAAAAAAGCCTTTAGAAGAAAATCTATTTATCAAGAGCAAGAAAAAAAGTTATCTTTTGCCAAGAGTAATTTTTAAAATTTTATTTCTTCTTGTGAACCATAAATAACATGCACGGTTTTTTCTCACATTTCAAGTATATTTCAATAAGAGGTATTTTGATGTCAGAGAATTGAAACTCCATATCCCTGTACCAGAGTTCCACTGAGCTTAACAAATTCCACTTTCACTGAGTGCACAGATAACAGAAGAACCACAGATGCATAAAAGGTGGCTGATGTAGGAGCCGATTAAAGTACAAAACACATACAAACAAAAAGAAATGAGTCACTACCTTTCTTTTTGGAGTCTTTCTTTGTGCTGGTTTTAACAGCCACTTGAAGTTCTGTCTCAGTTGACATCCTATATCCTTAGTCCTCTTCACACAGATCCAGGATCTCGGTCAGGCTCATTTAGAACGTCTCTCCAAGAGAATAATTTAGCCTTTCAGATACTATAACCCAAACAGTTCATCTCATTCACTCCTTTCGAGTGCTGTTAAGGAAGGAAACAAAGGAACAGTCATTTTCTGAGTTTAAAGGATAAAAGGAAGAAAAAAAGGCAAACCATTGCAAGCTTCGAGGAAGAAACACATCAAGTTCTTCATCTAGAGAACCAATTGTCCACAATTTTAGATGCTTAGACACAGTTATGTCTGACTAGTCTCAAACATCTATATTTGAGATGCTTTGGCATGTCTTAACAGGCTAAAGACACTACTCAAGGTGCACAATCTGGACCAGCAGCTGAGGGACAAAGATTATGATCTTAGAAGTAGCTTGAAATGCCACCAAAAGCAAAAAATTCTGTAAGGACTCAATTCTTAAATGCAACAATTTTAAGGTATAAACATGTTGCCAGATAGCAAGTTCAGATTTTTACTCCAATGCTCTTTCAGCGCCTTCGTTCTCTACTTGAACAAAGACAAATGAAAAACATATTCACTGCTCATGCTGAGAACATCATACTTTGCCACTCCTCTTGCTTATGATAATGTTTCCAGTATAAAAGAATCTGTCTCCACGTAAACAAAGCTGTAATTTTTAACACCCATCTAGTAATCTTTCTTGCAAAGAACTCTGAGAATTGCTAATTAAACCTATGAAATATAAATGGGATAAGGGCAAAAAGATAACATTTAGAGAGCAAGATACAGTTTTACATAATATGTGTTTGTTGGGGAGATACAAAAATGCACCAGCAGAAATGTGCTGGAGCAGTATGAGGGAGGAAGGGCTTGGGATGGCAAAGAACACACAAAGTAAAAACATCTAAGCAAAACATTAATCCAATTCTTACTGCTTATCCTTCTTGCTTTGAAGGATGACCCACCTACTCCAGCCAGTCTGTCGAGGGCAGAGGACCATACTGTCCTGAAGCCATTTGTCATTATGTTCACTCACCAAATGCATCTTCTTATTGCCCTTTCTTTTTGTGAGAAAGTTCTCATTATTAGCACAATTACAGTGAAGTCCATCTGGCCTGTCTGAACAGCTGCCCACTTATTAAATAAGCATTTAATAAAGATATTAACCCAGCATATCAGCTGGTTAGCTGGCCAAAGATTAACTGCAGTTATAGTTATTTACTAATGTCCCTTCTTTGTAATTTAAGAAAGTAACAGACTGCAAATACTGAAACAATTTTGACAGTTTAAATCACTTTTCACAGTAAGGGCTGTGAAGCCACCAGTACTTTCAAATCCAAGCTCTTTCAACATTTTAAAATGCTTCAGTAACATTACACTGCCATGCACCGTCTGAAGTGATTTAATATTGCTGAAGTGTGTCAGGGGCTTTCTTTAATAAGCTCTTCAAATCTGTCTGTGTATTATAGAATATTCAAAGATAGCTTTTCAAAATCTGCTGAACTGATTTTGAAATACAAAATTCCCTGTTCCTCCTCTATGGAATCAGAATAAGTGCTGAAGAGCAAAAAGGAGGAAAAATAAAGCAACAGTAAAATTGAAGACAAATACACCTTCTTGGTGTAACATACCCAAATAAACTAACAGCATTTTGATTAACATTCTTAGTTAGGAAAGCAGTAGAAAAGGACGAAGCAAATGAAGGCTGATCACAGAGGGAAAAGGAATCACAGCTCCAAAAGTGACGCTTCCAGGATTTGAAGTGCTCTTTGGCCAGGTCCATGGATGGGGAGATGACTCTTCCCAAGCACAGGCACGATGGGAACAGCAGAGCTCAGAGCTGTGCTGTGAGGGAACTCTCTCACCCGGCTGCAGACAGAGCTGCTCTTCACTTATGCTCAAATCCCCCCACAAACAGGGAGAGAAGCTCTGCAGAGAACAGATGTCCCTCACAACCCCCATCTCCTTCCCCTCCCCCTGCATGCAACCCAATTTAATAATATTTAGTTTTACAGCACAGTAGGGATGCATCAGCCTTTACAGCTCAACGGCACTTACTTAAAGCATCTCTCAAGTCACAGCTGGATTGACAGTTTATTTTTTGAGAATTTGGATTTATATTTACCTAAAGGTTAACTACATAACTCTACATGAACCAATTCACAAAAGGAAAATATTTATGATAGGTCCATTTATTAAAAAAGATAAATTCAAAATAAATACAAAATACCACCAGGGTCTAGAGTTAAGCAAGTTTTAATGTTTCAGAAGACTGTTGTGGGTACAAAGCATCAGGAATGTCATCTCCTGTTGTCAGCTCCTTCCAACAGGCTAACTGAAATAGTAGCATCTGAATGGAACTGAATATTTTAAAGTAACAACATATGACTGCTATCTCATTTGAAACTCTCCAGAAAAGCTATAGCCCCTCGAGGCTATCCCACTGAGTAATATTTTTTAAAATAAATGCATGTCTATTTTTGGACAGGTTCACATATTGATTTACTTTCAAACCTAATCAGGTCATACTCTCACAGGCTCATAGATACTTGAATAAAGTAATAGGTATCTTTGTGAAGGAGCACATAAACATCTGTCAGATGCAAGCTATAGTTCAAACTGAATTTGCTACAGAGACAATTCCTCCAAAAGTATAGGTCTTTATGTAAGCCACATTAGTAAACTTCCATGCACTGTCCATATTTCAGCCGTTTATTACCCAGATGAGAATGGCAGTCAATCTGCTCTTCACTGCAACAGCTTTTATTGTCTCCTCCAATCTAGGTCACCGTTGTTAAACACTACAGTCTCCCAACTGTGGGAAGTACTGCAGCATGTGTTTTATCAATGAGATGCTATTTTCTTTGATCAGTTCTGCCACATTTCTCTCCCTGCTCTACAGACAAAATTTTGTTAGCTGCATTCCCCCCCCCCCCCAAAAAAAAAATCCATCATCATACGCATATCCACTCTAACGATCTTCTTGTGTGCCTTGTTACTGCTCTGGCTATTACAATGTTATGTGCATGCCTCAGCTTTTCCTAAAGAGGATTCAGAGCTCTTCGTTTTAACAAAATACTGACATTTTCTGTAGCCTTATTAAGTGGCTACAGCAAAAACACAGTCAGTGCATTCTGGAATTAACTGGCTTTTAATTCCAAGAGAAGTCTTAAGCCTGTGTTCTCTGTTACTCCTACGCCAGAATAAAACATAAAGCGTTGGTGAAAAAACATTTCCATAAATTCTTTGCAGTTAGGATTAACATAGGTTGTACCCTTTATGTGTGGGGAAATTAGTCCCATGCTCCACTTGCCTCCCCCATGCATTTGTAAAACAACAATTTCTGTCAAATCATTTGTCTTTTCCACCACGCTTGAGCAGGCTCATGAAGGGGTTATTAGGAGACTTCCCCTGGCCCAAGTTATGAAAGAGGTCAGACCAGACTGTCATAATACTTCCCCTCTGGCTTTAAAATACATGAATTAATTAATTTTCTTCAGGGCTTCAAAACTTAAGAAGTTGCCTCCCCTGAAAGCAGTTTCCATCTGCTTATGTAAAAGAAAAGCAGTCTTAGAGAGGATTTGTAACTAAGCCCTGGCATTCCCTAGGTATTTAAGTTTTCCACAGCCCCAAAGTGGGATTTGACAAGAGGACAGTACCTCCCAAACCCTGGTTTGACAAAACAAAAGCTGAGCTACCATCCTTAGCTCTTGCTTTTATGGCTCCGGAGTCTTGAAAATAATTCTTTTCCTTCAAAGCACCCAATATAATCATGTTGATGCCCACGGTTTTGCAAGTGTTAAACAAACCCAACATACTGAAAGGGCAAAATGTAAGTGACAAAATTATTTTAAAAGTGTGTGATTCTGGAAAACTAAAACCAGTTCAAGTATAAAGGATTGCAATCCAGGGAGAAATCACCCACCTCCCATCTGACCACAAAGCCTAACACAGAGAACTGCAGTGGGACCACACACGAGCAGACGATGGAAAATCCATCCTTGCCACCAGTGCTCTTTCTACCCTCCAGAGAGAGGAGGCCATGAATTCTCTGGTGCTGCTCACACTATTTTGTACTCATCAGCTCATTTCCCCAATGGTCAAGGCTCGGGAACATGAGACTATTCATCTGTTACAGCAGGCACTACACTAATTCCAAACAGAAACTCAAGGGACTGATCCAAACCCCACTGATATACGGCAGTTAATAAGGCCTGTAAGTGAGAACCAGAAAAGGAGGAAGAGGAGGTAAAAGAGAGAGCTTAAGATACTGACACAGAGGAGAAAATGAGAAGGAAACAAAAGAAAACAGGGAATCTGTCGCTGTGACGCTTCGTTACAGCAAATTCTATAATGTGCTTAGCAGCAAAATCTAAGCCAGACCACACATTAAAATTCTGGCTACCCTGGAACAGAAAACAATCTCTGTTAAGACTGTTGCATGGGCCAGTCCTCTCCTCCAGTTTTGCCATTTACCCATAGAACAGCACAGCACACTGGTTCCAGTGACAAAGTCAAACGACTCTCTCTCACTGTTCTTTCCTGCCATTTCTTTACTGATATTTTTGCAGCCTCTAAACGTGGAAGGAATCTTGCTGTTCACGTGCACAAACTAAGACTCTACAAAAAAATTCACTCCCTCAGCAGATGTGGAAAGCCAAGTGCCCTGTCTACCTCCTCTAATTCCTCTTGCAAATTACAGACCCTCCTCTGGAACTCAACCACCTGCTTCTCCCTCCACCTCCCTAAATTACACAGCCTGAAAAGACTCACAACTGCCTCCATAGCTCATACTTAGTTTTGTTTGCTCTAAAGCATTTACCTTCTCACTTCTGAATTTCTATCTATTAAAACACAGGAAGGAGATTTAAGTGCTTTATTATGCTTTCTGTACTATGTCTAGAGTGTCTTCCAGAACAACACTTCCAAATAACCCTTTTTAATTCTTCTAACATCAGAAAACTACTTAGTACTCAAACCACAGCATTAAATTTCCCTTGTATTTAGTTGCTATAGTTGACTGTATTCATAAAATACTTCTCTTATCTCCTGAAAACAAGAAGCTCTTTTTTTAAAAAACCCTGCATGTAACTAAGGCAAATAATACATTTTATATTTAAGTTTGTTG